ATGACGGCGGCTGCGGCCCGATCCCGCCGCCCCCGCACTGTGGTATTGGCCAGCGGTATTGTCACCGACAGCACCGATGAACTCGGTGACTTCCACGAACTTTCGTCCGCAGGGATGTTGAGGCTGTTAGCGCTCATGTCGGAAGTGTAACTATCAGCTCTGGCGAGTGTAGATTCCGGTTGCAGCAGCAGGAGCGCCGTGATGAAATCCGACGTCTTGGAACTGAGTACGGTCTTGTGTGTAATCATGTTCTTCGGTCAATCCACGATCCCCTTACACTAGCTGCCTGGAAACCTTGTGGTGAACACCTTCAAGTCATCCGTGAGGAATATACCGCTCTTCCAATTATCCCGCCTGTTCCCTTTAGTGCGATACCGAAGTAGCCATCGCAGTTTTACCACTTACATCAACTTACATCCATCGCAGTTTTACTACTTAAATCACCTGGTAGGGAATGCTTTTAAATAGTTTCGCTGTTTTGATGCGATACAAGATACTATGAAACGCCTGCCATGCCACAAATACATGCAAAAATACCCATGTCCTGCGGGGGAAGGTATTGTAACCCGCGACTTCCTGAAGCCCACTGTCTTCCGCGTCTATACGTTACTTGCGGGCCCGCCGCAAGTCGCTCGAGTTCACCTTCGCCAAGGGCCAACGTCGTTGGCAATGGCCCCGCCGTGGAGACGGCCGGGGGCGAAGCCTCCGGGAGTTGTGGCGGCGCTCTCGGCCAGTTATGGCGCGCCAGACGTGCTTCGGGGTCCTTCTCCGCATCGTTGCCGCGCGGGGTCGCCGGAAGCCAGCCGGCGGTCCCTCCCCCCACCCCCACCCCGTTGCGCTCTGTGCTCCTCCGCGCAGTGCTCTCGCCGTCGTCAGGCGGGCGACGCGGCTGGTGTCCGACGAGGATGGTCGCGACGACACGAGCTGCCATGCTTTCATTTCGTGCAAGCTTACATACGTGCCTCATTCTCGAGTTCATGACACATTATGAACGTCTTCTAGTTTAAATATTGATCTCGTTCCACATATCTGCACCTTCTCCATCAACGAAAAATGCTGCATTCCATGCTCACAGTACGTCACACGCTTGGACTATAAAATTATTTTTGACGTAAAATAAATAAACTAAAATATCCATATTGCTTCCCGTCAATGGTACAGAATGGATTTTCTTTGGATATATGTCTTCGTGCAAAGTGTGAATTCGAATCCTACATATGGGGAATCTTATTTCATCCGGGCACGGAGGAAAACCATGCTAGAAGGGTCAACGTTCATTTCATTGGCAGCAAGAGATTCATAATAACTCCCAAAACTCGATTGACGTGCTCATTGCAGCATAAGGAAATATCACATCAAGCTGAACTGGAATGGGGCGTCAGTGCGCTACGCCTGGTTACCGGTGTTATCGCCGCAATAACCCATGAATACCTTCCCGAGAAGTAACCCGCTGCTCGGGCGGACCACAGCTTGACCTTGTTCCAGAGTCAACGCCGAAAACAATTGGCAGCACGGAGCATTGCAGAGCGAGACCTGTTATGGTGTAAGGGTGGATGGCACTTTAAACATACGCAGTTGTTTATTGCAGAAAATGCTCATTATTTATTGAAGATCATGATTGATTAAAAGCAGTCTGTGACGTTCTAGGAGGAGAAGTGCACGTTTCTCAAATTCTGGGGTCTTTGTCCTAACATGTATAAAAGTTGAATTTTGAAAACGTATGGAAACGAGCGTTTTGGCAAGAACGCTTAAGAAATAATTAGCTCGTGAGTAATAAACATAAATTACAAAGAAAAATCTGCATATCTTGGTATTATCCCTCACCGTGGCTTTTCTGAAAGAATGAACTTTTTGCCACGAGAACATGGACAACGATAATAAGAATAACTATATTCCTCTCTGAACTCGAGAAAACATGCACAGAGAATGAAGTTAAATGTATGTCCAGAATTAAAACCAGGGGCCATCTCAGCATTCGATCAAAGGATCAGGGAAATGAAGAAAAACCTGATCTAAGCGGGGGTAACTGCCCAGGAGCTGAGGTGCCACGTTTGCATCAGAAATAAGGGTGCTGATGTATTATCTGTCGCACCAGTTCGGGTCTTGTCACCCATTCGACGTCATACGTCATAGCTGTTTACCGAAACTGCCGTCGGCAGAAAAAAAGATAACACATTAGTCACTGGATCCGAAAACAATTATCCTTATTACTATTCACAGCTCAATTGTTTTCAAACGATGTACGTAGAACTCGTCATCAGATATTGTCCTGTCACGAACAATCCTTACTATCGTTAGTGTAATTCTTGGAAATGAACGTATTGAAATGTACAATATTCATTGTCATCTTGTTTTCTCATACGTTCGATCATTGTGGTACTGTCCGACCGTATATTTTCTGACCACTTCGTATAATTTTCTAATAGAGTATGCTATTTTTTACGTATTTACATAAGAATATACATGTATACGCGTGTATTCTCATGCCGCATTGACACGGTATATAT